GCCGCGGCGAGACGGCCCCTCTCCGGCGTGCGGATGACAGCACCGGGCGCTGCACCTACACTTTCACCGTGGCCAGCCCCGTCGAGGCCCGTTGCCCCGACGGCAGCGGCGTGCCGGAGCTGCGGGCCGAGCTGGCCGCCCTCGCCGCCCGCCTGAGCCGGCTGGAGGGGCGGGAGAGGGGCACGGGGGGCTCGGGGCCGCGGGGAGCCGAGGTCGGGGGGGTGCGGGACCCCCAACAAGCAGCCTCGGCCGCTCGCCTGGAGGCTGCCTACAGCGAGCTGCTGCGGGCCAAGACCCGGCTGGAGGAGGAGAAGGGGCGGCTGGAGCGGGAGAAAGAGGAGCTGGGGAGGCGGCTGGAGAGCAGCACCCAGGAGATCGCCCGCCTGCGGGCCGCCCGCTGCCCCCCCCCCGGCAGAGAGGGGCCCGGCCGCGATGCCCTGCGCGGCCCCGTCAAAGGTAAGTGCCGGGGATGGGATCCCCTGTGCCCCCCCGCCACCAGCTCCCTGCCACCTCTCCTCTCCAGGGGGCTGGGAGAGTCCCTTTGCTGCCCCCCCCTCCCACGGTGCACCCACCCGGCTCTCAGGTGCCCCAGTGGGTGCCCCGTGGCTGTGGGGTTCAGCTCTACCAGGGGGTCACAGCACATTGCACCCCTCCCCAGGTCAGGGCTCTCCTCATCCCACCATCTGCCCTGCAGCAGAGTGGGGACAGCCCTGAGCTCTCCTCATCCCACCACCTGCCCCACAGCAGAGTGGGGACACAGGGGACCAGGCTAATCCGGGAGGATTAGGGGTTTCCCCTAAGGAGCATTAAACCTGGGGGCAACAGCATCAGTGGCTGTGGAACAAGGTCCCCATCAAACAGCTCTGACAAGCTCTGGGTGGTCCTGCTTTAGCAGGGGAGTTGGACTAGATGATCTATCTCTACAGTCCCTTCCAACTCTAAAAATTCAGTGAAATTGAGTGAAATCAGCAGGTCGTGGACGTGTCCTGCCGCAGCGGGACAGAGCACCGGGCTCCTGACCAAAGCGTCGGTGTTTGGGGAAGCGTGGAGCCCCCCGGGGCAGCGGGGGCAGGTGCAGCAGCGAGGAGGGCTGGCTCGGTCCCTACTCACGCTGTGCCTGGCCCCGCCGCAGCCCCCCGCTGGGACCCCCAGCCCCTCGCCTACCAGGAGCTGCAGTCGGAGAGGACGGAGGTTCCTGCATCCCGGCTGCTGGAGGAGACCGCGCTCAGCCGTCCGGGGAGCGAGGACTCGGGTACTGCCACCAGCACAGCTGGCTGTCCCCATGCCCCGCTGCTCACAGACACCGCTCAGCCCCCCCTGAGGGGCTCTCTGGGCGCCCCCGAGCAGTCACCCCTTTCTCTCTCCCCGAGCAGGCTGCGGCGAGCTGGTGTGGGTGGGGGAGCCCGTCGTCTTCGGCCGGGCAGAGTCCATCGCCGGCAAGTACGGCGTGTGGATGAAGGACCCTGAGCCCGTGCCCCCCTTCACACGAGAGACCACCTGGCGCGTGGACACGGTGGGCACGGAGGTCCGGCAGCTCTTCCAGTATGAAGCGGCCGAGCAGCTGGCCCGGGGCTACCCCGCCAAGGTGCACATCCTGCCCCAACCCTTGGAGAGCACGGGGGCTGTCATCTACCGTGGGGGGCTCTTCTTCCAGCCCCGCCGCTCCCGCACCGTGGCCCGCTACGACCTGCGGGGAGAGACGGTCACGGCTGAGAAGGAGATCCCTGGCGCTGGCTACCACGGGCAGTACCCCTACTCCTGGGGGGGCTACACCGACATCGACCTGGCGGTGGATGAGACGGGGCTTTGGGTGATCTACAGCACTGAGAAGGCCAGGGGGGCCATTGTCCTCTCCAAGCTGGACCCCGACACACTGGAAATCCAGCGGACCTGGGAGACCAACATCCGCAAGCGGGGGGTGGCCAACTCCTTTGTCATCTGCGGCACCCTCTACACTGTCAGCAGTTACTCGGCGCCCAATGCCACCATCAACTTTGCCTACGACACGGCCACCAGCACCAGCCGGCCCCTCAGCATCCCCTTCGAGAACCGCTTCCGCTACCTCAGCATGGTGGACTACAACCCCACCGAGCGGCAGCTCTTTGCCTGGGACAGCTTCAATATGGTCACCTACCCCGTCCGCCTCTCCCAGGCCTGAGAGGGGGCCACGGTGGCTCAGTCCCCACGACCCCCCTGTGTGCGTTGGCACCCCGCTTCGCTCCCCAGCTCCCCTTAGCACGGCCGGGAGCAGCGCCCCAGGCAACGGTGGGGGGCACACGCTGCCCAGCCGAGCCGTGGTGGGGCCCCCAATCTCCTCGCTGGCACCTCCGGCAACATCCTGTCACGCTCCAGTGCAGCAGAGGAAAATTAAATGCTTTTCTAGATCCTGGTGGAGCCGGTGAAACGCTTCTCGCCAGCCTCAGTGGGTTTCGGGTGGGCCACAGCGGTACCCAGCCCTGAGCTGCTCCAGCATCCTCTGGGAGCACACCCCAAATTTGGAGAAGGGAGGGTTTGGGCACAGCAAAGGTCAGGTGGTGGAGATAAGGAGAGGGTGCCCTGGAGGTTCCCACCTAAAAATCAATGCTTTCCCTGGCTGCAAGCAGTGACCCCCTTCCTGAGGCTGGGGTTTGTGTTTCCGGGCTCCAGCTGAGCACGAGCACTGCAACTGCCCCCCAGGCTTCCCCCAGCAGCAACAATTTTTGGGGAGACCTCCTGTCTTGCGGAGAGGAGCAGTGTTCACCCACCACCAGCAGCCCTGCAGAGCTGAGCCCCAACAAGCCCTGCTGCATCCCACGCTGCCAGTGCCCGGGGGTGACCCAGAGCTCAGCCGCCTCCAAAAATCATCCAGCAGGATCAAAAGCAGCAGGGAATACGGATGCTCATTGCACAAACCTTGTTTAATTGGGGGAGGAAAAAAAAAAAAAGGAAAAGAAGCCAAGAGAGCAACGGCGAGGTGTGCTGGCAGAGCACCCCACAGCCAAGCAGCCCCTCGGTGTGCCCAGTCCCTCTCACCCCCACGCTTTGGCTTCACAGCCGTGCCCCACCACCGACTCGGTGGCAGCTCTGGCCCCACCTGCCTCACAGCGCTCCCCAAGCTGGTCCAAAACATGCCCTTTTGACTATTTATTGTAAAAAGGCTGTAGGAGGCTTTCTTCTCCTTGCCCCCGACCCCGACCCCGGCATTGGGGGCAGATGGGGCAGCCATATCCACATCCCCCCAGGGGATGTGCAAGGTCCTGGCCCAATAAACGTCACCCACTGCCTCTGCCTTTCGCCTCGTCTTTTCAAGCTTGGGTTTTCCAGGGGTTTGGTAGGCTGGGGGTGTGAAGCGCTGGTGCTCCCCCCTTGATGCACCGGGAGGTTGAAGGTGGTGGGAAGAAGCTGCAAAGCTTTGACCAGGAAAATGCCACGTGCAGGAGGTGGCTGCCGGCAGGGCCAACCCCAGGAGCACCTTTATTTAGCACGGAGAAGCTGCAACGTGCCCGCCACGTTGAACTGGAATAAAAGTCAAAGCTTCAGCTCCAAACCCCGAAGATTTGCCAAAGGGGAACGATTAACCAGCTCCAGGAGGCAGGGCTGCAGGTGGGGCTGGCCACTCCTGGGGTCCAGCACAGGGCAGGAGGGATGGGGGGACGGAGGCAGTTCCCCTTTGCTGCCACGCTGCTGGGGTGTTTAGTTGCTCACATGGGGGGATAGCAGTGCTCTGAGACCAGAGGCTGCGGGGATGGGCCCTGGCTCAGATCTGATCCTGTTCTAGAAGAGCAGGAGACAAGGAGGGGATGGGGAAAGGCAGGGGGATGCCACAGGCAACTCCACAGCAAGGACTGTCCTGGTGAATCTGGTGTGGGGGGAACTGGGGAGGGTCTTTGCCCTACCCCTGAGATGGGCTGGGGAGGGTGTGGGATGGGACATGTACCATAGGGGGACTGACTCAGTGGGACCCCAGGATTTTGAGGCAAGAGGCTGGAAGACCCTTTCTCGCTCCCCAGCAGGCCAGGCATGGAGCCAGCACAAATAAAAGTGTCCCCTAGGCCACCACGGTACAGCCCCCCACAACCTGTGGTGGGCCCCCCACACCTGCCCCCTTTGCAGTAAAGGCTGCGCTGAGCACCCTACTGTGCGGAGAGGGCACCCTCTCTGATGGACCACAGCTGCTAGCAATACATTAGTGGTGGATTTGGGGTTCTCTTGGCCTCAGAAAACATGGGTGTGTAGCCCTGCCCTGGGGAACAGCCGTGGCTCTGGCAGCGTCCCTCTGTCCTGCGGTGAAAACCCACCCGGGAGAGGCGGTCGTGGGGGCCCTGGTACACAATGAACAAGGCAAAGAGCAGGGCAAGCCGCAGGGCAGTAAGGGTGGGGGTGAAGGCAGCTGAGGGGGTCACCCAGGAGCTGGCAGGGGGCTGCCACGCACCCACCAGGGCTGGGAGGAGGGAGGCAGCCAGCCGGCAGCCAGCTGCCCCCCCAAAGCACAGAAACCCAGCTGCTGAGGTTGAGAAAATGGCATTTCTGTCCCAAAAACCAAAAGGGGAGGCGAGGCTGGAGCTCCCCCGAGGTACGGGTTGAGCCCCAGCGTGAAAGGGAGGGATTCTTCAGAGATCCCTGGGGAGCAGCAGCAGCACCAAAGGCTTCTCAGTGTGGAGAGACAGCAAGGGCAGCCAGTCCCAGCCATGCCCGCTCTCTGCCAGCACTGGGGTCTTTTCAGGCTGGGAAGTACATGGCTTAATTGACTTAAAAATAAATGAAGACAAGCCAACGTACACAGGATTTCCAGAAAGCTGGGCTGGAGCTGAGCAGCGCTGAATACACAGCCTTACTTAACAGGCTTTGCAAAACAAGCCCGGAGAGTCCCTCCCCTCCTGCATCCCAGCAAGAAGCCAGCCCCAGCCCAGGGGGTTTGCTGGATCCGGCCCCAAGTCACATTAACCCCCTTCTGCTCTCGCCCTTGGGAAAAGTCCCAGTCTTTTCACAGACAGAACACTATTGAATAAATTTAAAAATAAAAGTTAATTCCCCTTACAAAATAGTTCCCTAATTTACGGAAGGTTCAGCATGATTATTTGTGATGACCGGAGTCCTAGAAAAGAGATTACACACCAAATCCCATTCAAATTAAAAAGGCAAGACCTGCTCCAGCGTAAATGGCCAGAAGCAAGTTATCTGGTGAAACGTCATAAAAAATATTCAGTGAGCCAGGGTGAGCGACTGAAAGCTCAACCTGGCTGCAAAGGCAGCCAGGGCAGTTGGGGGCTGTTTTGGGGAGGCACACATCAAAATTCAGGTTATTCAGCTGCACTGAATGCTCAAGCATTCCCTTTTAATTAAGTTTCCGCGGAATCATAGAATGGTTTGGGTTGGAAGGGACCTTAAAGATCATCGAGTTCCAACCCCCCTGCCATGGGCAGGGACACCTCCCACTAGAGCAGGTTGCTCAAAGCCCCATCCAGCCTGGCCTTGAACACTCCCAGGGATGGGGCATCCACAGCTTCTCTGGGCAACCTGTTCCAGTGTCTCACCACCCTCATAGTAAAAAATTTCTGATATCTAATCTGAATCTTTTTTCTTCCAATTTAAAACCGTTAAAAAATACTATCCTTGTTCTGCTCACTGCAAGAAATTACCAAAAGCTTGGTATATTCCCCACAGCCACCTGTGGGAAATCCGTCTGACATTTCCAGTGGCTTTGTTGGAGAATTTAAGATTAGTCCTTTCAGCAGCATTTCCTTAAAAACAGTTGTCCAGTGAACAATTTCCCATTTTTAGGGTGTTCTTTTGAAATGAACCAAGACAGCCTCAAAGCAAGGAAACCTCAGTGAAGCTCAATTACCACTGAAACCATCTCCCTTATAACACGTTTGTAGATCAAACCACTGTCTTCCCTTCCCTCTGTTCCCCGGCCTCCCGGGGGACACAGGAGTGTTTGCTGTAGCTGTTTGGCTCCTGTAAAAAAAAGCAATTTACCTGTAGTGTTACCTCCTTGCCCATCGCTCCGTTTGGGGACTGCAGCCACCTTGATTCACTCCATATTGCTGCAGTTCTTCTAGAAACCCCCCAAAAGAACCAGCTCCAGCTCCTCTGGTGCCCTCAAATGACCGCTTCCCAACAAGGTGAGTGCAGGAAGGTCTGTCTGCTCCCACCCCTGACCAAGGGCAGGCCCACAGGACACCCAGCGGCGCTTGAAGAGCCACCCTGACTCTCCTTTCCTTGCACCCCTTGGAGATGTGACGCAGACCAGCACCTTCTCCCAAGGGAAGAATTAATTCTCAGAGGCCAAACAGGAGGAGGGTTCTGGTGTTTGCTGTGAGCCCCGAGTTCCCTCTGGTGGCCGGCTGACAGCATCCTGCCTCTCCATAACCCCACAGCCCCAGGGATCACGGAATGGTAGGGGTTGGGAAGGGACCATCAGAAATCATCTAGTCCATCTAGGTTCACCTACAGCAGGCTGGACAGGAACGCACCCAGGCAGGTTTTGAATATCTCCACAGCCTCTCCAAGCAGCCTGTTCCAGTGTTTCACCTTCACAACTGAAGGACGCTCAACCTCTCGTTCTGATACCCCCGGGTATCATTAACCATGTGAGTTAGATGTGTGGTACCACGTGTGTGCTGGTTGCAGAGAGTTGGGAAGGGAGCAGCTGAGGAACAGCCCAAGATGGGGGCTTCCTGCTTCCTTGGGAAAGCTCACCTCAAGGCTCACTCTGCAGGAAAGCCCCTGCTGTGAGGGCACCTGTGGAGCCACCGGCACCTGTGGTCACCCACCAAAGGAGAGTAACGGGCTGGGTTCATCCTGGTCTCCTCCGACGAGTGGTTCTTCTCTAGGGATCGAAACACAAGCCTCCAGCACCAGCAGCTCACCAACACACCAGGGATGTCACATCCTGCAAACACAACCGGCAGCTCCTTCCAGGGCTAGGGGGAAAGCCACGTCCTGTGAGACCTTCGCTGGAGAACGAGAGCAAAAGTGCTGGAGGAAACAAAAACCAAGCCGTTTCAAACCGTTTCTTTCTTTCTTTTAGAAGTCTCTTTTCCCAAGCTGTAGGGCACGCTCTTCGCCCGGCGCACGACGTTGAGGTGCTCCCCTTGCATCCTGCAGCACTGCACTAATCATGAGATTACCCGGATGCTTTATTTAGAGAATACTTTATTAGTTTTTGTAATCAAACCCATGTAAATAAGACCGTACATATTTAATACAGTGCGTTACCCCTGTACAAATGGAAAAAAAATTAAGTTTAACATTTCTAGACCAATATGGCTGTTAATTTCTGTACAATGCCAACTCACACTACAAGTGGGATACTTTTTTCCAAAGTTGACATCACAGCTAGAGTTTCCAAAAATTCAAATTATATATATATTTATATAAAAAGATAACCAATAGCGATTCACTAGGCATCAATAGCAGCAACAGCCTTTCCAGCCTCTGCAGTCATTTGAACAAAATTATACACATTAGACTTTCAACTCACTCTTCCTTCCAAAAAAAGTAAAAAAAAAAAAAATCCCAGAAAAAAACCAGCAAATTCTGCTACTGATGTGGTACCTGGTGCTTTTTATTAGCTTTTTTTCAATCATTGTCTGGAAAAAAACCTCTAGAATAACATTATTAAAAACAGCTCCAGTATAGCACAGTCACTACTACATATCATAAGCAGGTACAGGATATCTTACATTCACAGAAGTATCATACAGTACTGTCCTACAGCTATAATACTAGAGGATACAATTAAAAAGGCATTTATTTGACTTGATTCTACTTTCCAGCACACTGTGGGCAAGGAGGTGGTGCGACGCAGCTCTGATATAAAGAATGCACCTTTGAAGATAAAACTCTCTTTAATCCGAGAAGGTTTCTTTTATTCTTTGTGGCACAGTTCTAAGTGCTCGTTGCTGTATACAGACAGAAGCTGGAAACCGTTTCAAGATCACTCGCATCATATAGAGAGAGCGGGACAGAGGTGAACAGAACTAAATTTTGACTATTGATGCAATGAACCTTTCAACTCCTGAGGTGAACGACTGAGGGGGGAGCGGGTGCAGAGGACACACCGGTGGCCAAGTAGCGTTTTCATACGGTGATCTAAATACAGTATATCGTCATCCAAAAAAAGCAGCAGCCAGCAAAGCACTGCCTTCAGAGGGAAATTCAACATCATCAGCGTCACTTTCCGTGTCACGGCAGGTTAGACGTCACACGGCAAAGGCAATTTTTGCCAGCTCTGTGAATCCCTCTGTTTATTACAAGATAGAAGCTT